TGGGAGAGCCCTCTCCTGTGGCCGATCCGACGCGCGTCTCCGAAAATGCCGGCCGGCGCTTCAGAGCAGCCGCGGGAGAGACCATAGGCAACATCACAATGCGATCGCTTTTGCGATAGCAAAAAACGAATCGCTATGTGGATTCGTCGTTAAACGGGCCGCTCGTTATGCGAGGCACCACTTTGTGTGTGTGTGTGTGTGTGTGTGTGTGTGTGTGTGTGTGTGTGTGTGTGTGTGTGTGTGTGTGTGTGTGTGTGTGTGTGTGTGTGTGTGTGTGTGTGTGTGTGTGTGTGTGTGTGCGCTTCATTTATATAACATTTTTTCTGCCAAATCATTCAAGTTAATATAATTGCGTTACAGGATCTGTAAGCTTAATGTGAGGAAACAAGTACTAATGAGGCATGTCAAAGTGCAGCCAAGTCCCCACAGTAATATATGCACAGTTCTCTCTCTTTTTTTGTCTGAATCTTTTTAAGCTGTTGATAATCCCTAAACACCTATGCCACTGTAATTACAGAATTGAGTTGTAGTCCTGATTTTAGGATTTCCTGCTTTATAATTGTGGTATGATAATGAATGTCTGTTTAAATAACTGTTTTTGTGTGAGGATATTATGCTTGACATTTCTGTGTATGCAAATATAGGATTATGTGGAAGATTGACAGTTCTTGGATAAATAATCCTAATGCCAGAAGACATTTTATATGCTGGTAAAAACAATTATTACAACTCCACTGTATTAGAACAGGATGCCATCAACCTTTGAATATGTGCTCTCAAGTTGCATCTGTCCTTATACATATTTACAATAGTCTTCTATGAATCCATTACTATTACACCTCCAATGCCAGCAACACCACTATCCTTATGTACAAGGCAGTTTACCAGAGTTACATAGGCATAGACAGGTTCTGGCTTTTAAGGACCTGATACTGTAGTCTAATTTGTTTTTGTGAATAGTGGTGTGATTTGACTGCTGAGCCACATATTTAGAATAAACATGTAATATAATTCTCTAGAAATGTGTCATTTTGAAATATATATTGGATATTCTACCTATCTGTACATATATGTACAGTATGGACATTTGTGTGTACATATATGTATTTATATAGATATGGATATCTATTTGGTTACAGTGTCAGAAGTTTGATTCCCCACTGTGCCTCCTTGACAGGAGCTGGACGTGATGATCCATAGGGTCCCTTCCAGCTCTGCAGTTCTAAGATTATTAAGGATTGCTGGAAAGTGGTTTAGGTTTCTGGCTGAGGAGCCGGAGATTGGGAGTTTGATTCCCCACTGTACCTCCTTGACAGATGCATGACTCCATGGTCCATAGGGACTTTTCCAGCTCTGCAGATCTGAGGTTATTATTATATACAATTTAGGTGTGAGATATTTTATATGCTACTTTTTAGGGCTCTCTAGACCTCTCTACAGTGGTGCCTTGCTTAACGACATTAATTCGTTCCAGCGAAATCGCTGTAGAGCGAAAACGTCATAAAGCGAAATAAAAAAGCTGAAATGCATTAAAATCCGGTTAATGTGTTCCAGTGGTCTGAAAACTCACCGTCCAGCGAAGATCCTACATGGGGCGGCCATTTTCAGTGTCTGTAGAGCGAGAAATCCGTCCCTAAGCACAGCGGGGAGCCATTTTGAGCACCTGGCAGCCCTTTTGAAAACCCGGCGATCAGCTGTTTTGATCGTCGTAATGCGAAGAATCGGGAACCGATCCTTGCAAAGGGAAAAAACCTCATTTAAAACATCGTTTTGCGATCGCAATTGCGATCGCAAAAACATCGTTGTGAAGCGGATTCATTGTTATATGGGGTAATCGTTAAGCGGGGCATGACTGTAATTATTTTCAGTAGAAATAACTGAAGTACAGTTACACCAGTGCTTAGCTCCCTGGGGAGGAACACACTGGAAGTCAAGCAAAACATAAGCGAAATAGGGAAGTCTTTGCATCTTTTCTAAAGTTTGAGAGCTTGTGTTCCAGCAAATGGAGGCACTTATCATGGTGGGATGAACAGCCACACTCTGGTGTTGAGAGAATTGCTACTCATAACTGTAATGTAGTAACTGAAGGTATAACTTAAAAGGATCATGTTAAACAGGAATGGCGGGGGAGTAGCTTTGTATATAAAGCTGGGGAGCATTTGGGTAAAAATCAAAAGAGAGAAGAACAATAGTATTGTTACTATGGAGGTCTGCTGCTGACCTCCCAGTCAGGCTGAAGATTTGGATGGTACCCTCCTAGACCAGACATTCAAAGAGCAGAGACATTGTAGTAGTGAGAGACTTCAGCTATCCTGATGTTGGAAGTGCAACTCCACCTAGATGGCATGGTCCCACAATTTCCTCACTTGCCTTGATGGTAATTTAATGTCCTGGAACGTAGAAGAAGGAAGAAGAGGATAAGTTATCCTAAATTTGGTATTAAGTAATAGAGAAAAATTGGGCAGTGAGATGGAACAGTAGAAACTGGCTAGAAGTGACCATGCTGTCTTGACATGTGTTAAACTTGGAAATACTGTAGGAAAGCTGACAGTAGAATAACACACCCTTTAGACTTTAGAAAAGCTGAATTTCAGTAAGCTCAAAGAAATGCTGGGTGAGATCTTATGATCAGAAATACTCAAAGAGAAGGGAATCCATAATGGGTGGGAGTTTCTTAAGAGTGAGGTTCTCAGAGCATAATCACAAACAATTCCACTGAGAAAGAAATCTGAGAGTGACATCTAAAGAAACGAGGGTGGCTACATAAAGAGCTGCAACTTAAAGGGTCATGTAGAGGAAGTGGGGAAAGCGCCGGATCACCAAGGAAAGAGTACAGAGATGTAGCCAGTATTTGTAGAGAGAAGGTTAGGAGGGCTGAAGTTCAAAATAAGTTCATACTTGCAGGAGAGGTGAAAAACAACAAAGTTGGATTTTTAAAAAGCTACATTTGAAGTAAAGGAAAGAAGAAGGAAATGGTAGGTTTGTGCATGGAGAGGACAGAGAATTACTAAGAGGTGACAGAAGGCAGAAGTATTGAAGTCCTACTTTGCCTTTGTTTTCTCACAAAAGGAAATTAGTGCCATGCCTGTAGAAGCAGAAATGAGAAGGTTGCTGAGAAGGAGATGATATGGGAGCACAGGTACCTTAAATAAGTCTCCAGATGAGCTCCATCCAAGGGCACTAAAGCAGCTTGCAGATGTAATCTCAGAGTCTCTGTCTATGCTCTTCAAGAATTCTTAGAGAACAGGTGAGGTCTGTGAAGACTTGAGGCATGGAAAGGGGGGGGGGGAGAGATGATCCAGGCTACCGACTGGTCAGCTTGACAATCAGTACCAGGAAACATTCCAGAACAGATAATTAAACAGTCTGCAAGCACTTAGAAAAGGAAATTTTGATTTCTGAGACTCATCAGGGTTTTTCCCCAAAATATAGACATTCCAAACTATTTTACCTTGGTTTTAAATGGAGTCACAAGCTGGGTAGATAAGGTAAAAACTACTGCATTTTGTAGTGGATCTTGATTTCAAGAAGGACTCTGACAAGATCCCTTACAATATTTTTGTGTTCAGGCTGGCAAAATCTGAGCTAGATGATAATACAGTTAGGTGAATTTTAAGCTGGTTGACTGCTAAAAACCAAAGAGTCCTCACCATTGGCTTCTCATCCTCTTGAAGGGGAGTGAAAAGCGGGGTGCTACAGAGTTCTGTATAGCAAATGCAATACACAGCATGGTAACCTTTATACAGTGGTGCCTCACTAGACAATGATAATCCGTTCCACTGAAATCGCTGTTTAGCGAAATGATCTAGTGAAAAACATTTCCCCATTGGAATACATTGAAACCTGTTTAATGCGTTCCAGTGGGGAAGAATCGTTGTTGTCTAGCGAAGATCGGACATAGGAAAGCCGTTTTGCGAACCGCCAATCAGCTGTTTAAATCACTGTCTTACAAAGCTTAGATCCCGAAAACACCTGTTTGCAAGGGCGGAGGGAGCTGTCAAAATCGTCGTCTAGCGAAAATCGGTTTGCGAAGCAGGGAAATTCCCCCATAGGAATCACTGTTTTGCGAATCGCTATAGCGATCACAAAAAGTCAATGTCTAGTGAAAAAACTGTCATGCGAGGTAACTGTCTAGCAAGGCACCACTGTATATATATGTATGTATAGTATAGGGGATTTTTCTTTTAACATTTTCAGACTGTGGATAAGTGAATCAGTAGATACTGCTCCCGTGGATAAGGAGGTCCTAATGTATATGCGAAAAAAAATCTCAGGGTCTTAGTGGATCACAGACTAAACAAGAGCCAAGAGGATGGTCCACTAGCAAAAATCGACTGCTCTACTACGGTGTATTATATTATCCCCATCAAAGGAAGAAGTAGTAGCACTTTATTTTGCATTGATCAGACCTTATTTGGAGTACTATATCCAGTTTTGTACACCACAGTTAAAATGGATATTGGAAAGCTGGAATGTGCATGGAGGAGAGCGACCAGAATGGTAAGAGATTTGGAAACGAAGCTGTATGAGGAAAGATTGAGGGAATTTGGCATCTTTAGCCTGGAGAAGAGAAGACTGAGAGTATGATAGCCATCTTCAGATATTTGAAGGGCTGTCATATGGAGCAGACTTGTTTTTTTGCAGCTCAAGAGGATAGGATCAGAAGTAATGGATTTAGACTAAACATTAGAAGGAACCTCTTGACAATGCCATTTAATTATGAAGTCAACTGCCGTGGAGGTTGATGTTCTTCACCAGGGATGTTAAAGCAGAGATTGGATGGGCATCTATCAGGGATGCTTTAAGTTGTGGATTTCCTGTAGTGGCAGAGGGGCTAGACGTAATCTGTGGGGTCCCTTCCAGATCTAGAATTTTGTGATGCTTTGAACAGTACTGAGCAGGAAAAGTTGTATGGGTGTAGGCATCAGAGTCCCAACATTGTGCCATGGAAGACATTTTGATTCAAGGAGGAAGGCAATTTCATGCTCCTCCCTTCGGCATGCAACTCTCTTTGCTCCTGAAAATCTGGTTGAAAGGGTTGGGGATTATTCAGAAGAGTATGGACAGTGGCATGAGGGGTTGCAGATGAGAGGAAGCTTGCATTAATACCCTCCTCCTTTCAGTGGGAGCTTCCAGAATGATAGATAACCTTCTTTCAATAGAGGGACATCAAATATATTAAATTTTGTATGTTTGAAGGCCTTGCTGTGGAGAAAATTGTTGTGCTAGCTTTTCACAGCCAAAGATCTTATGTAGAGTATACTGTATATCATGGAGTTTTCCACCTGCTTTATGAATGGTGCAGTTTCTGGAGAATTACTCCTCACATTTCTCCTGAATGTGTCAGTACGCACTTAGTCCTGCTAAGACTTCAAGTAACAAGTCACAACTATAACAGGTTCATTGAATCAGTGGGGACCCATAAATTCCTTTGATTCAACGGGCCTGTTCTATTTCTGGCTCAATACTGTACTAGATTTCAGCCTTTTTGTTTTGATTACCCAAGCTTTTGGAGACAAGGCTAGTTAAAAATTTGAATGAGAACTTATAAAAATTTACTGATTAACATATGTGATTAAAGTATACAGATTATCGGCATTGCTGCAAAATTATCACTGTTAACAGTTTTGTGAAACCCTAAGAGATAAGAAGAACTAGGGCTAGGAGACTTGTGCCTTCACTCTAATGAAAGATTGAGATCTTTAATTACTACTACACTAATAGGATGAGTGAAGCCAAAAGAACAATCTGTACAGATCTAATCAAAAGAAAATCCCATTGGGTTCCAACAGGATTCCCCGCCCTTTCGTTACTTAATTTAAAAAAACCCACTCTGGGTTGATTGCACCTGCAGTGTGGCTTGAAGTCATGGGAGTTGTGGTAGAATACATTTGGAGGGTAGCAGATTGGGAGGGTGTCACAACTTTTTGCACTAATCTACTGTTTCCTTGGTATTTCTTCTTTTTCAGGATCATAAAGACGAAGTAACTTGTGTGTCATTTAACTGGAATGATTGCTATGTTGCTTCAGGGTCTTTGAGTGGTGAAATCATCCTACACAGTCTTGCTACAAATATATCCAGCATTCCATTTGGCCATGGTACCACTCAGGTAAAGTACACATGGGACTGGGATATGAATATTGATGACACAGGGTTTGTTGGAATTTTTTTTTTCAGTATTAAAAATATTTTTATGAAGATAAAAGTACAAGTGATCATTGGATCTTATTATCAGATAGATTCAGAGTTAGTTTTAATCATTTTGTAAGCATGTCTACTCCACACACTGTGAGGAGAGCATTGGATGTTTACCCCATCTGTCACTTTAAACACATGAAGGAGAGAGGCTGTTAGATCTGTGTGGTCTTTGTTGTTCTTGTTGTTGTTTAGTCGTGTCTGACTCTTCATGACCCCATGCACCAGAGCACTCCGTGCCCTCCTGTTTTTCTTAATGAGTCCCATTTTTCTTGTGTTCTGGTTGACACCTTGAACCGTACAGCTGCGGCAGCCCCCTCTGCCAGCTCCACTATTTAGATGGTTGTTTTTGTTGTTGGAAGTGATGGTGTAGGTGGACAGGGTTAGTATATTGTGTGTTGACTACACATGCTTACAGAAGAGTCAGGTAGGGCTTTTCTCCCAACCCCAAGTCCCTTATTTACATCACATTTCAGTATACCCATCCAAAGCACATGAAAAGCAGGCTAGTGTTGCCTCCCTTCTTACCCTTCTTTATTTCTCTCTGCCATGTAATTAGGGTCTCAATTCATGGGACATTATTGCTGTTCATGGAGGTAGGTCATATTTAAAGATCGAACAGAGGATGGGGCCCATTGTATACTTGATTGGACTTTTCGTGTGCAGTTGGAAATGGATTATATCAGAGGTTGTCAACCCCCGGTCCACGGCCCATTGCCGGTCTGTGGCTTGACCGGGCCGCAGAGACAGACCTCCCGCCGCCCCCTCCCCCGCACGCACTAGGAGGCGGCAGCGGGGGAGAGCCAAGAGCCCGGGAGGCAAGAGCATGCCCGGGTGCTCCGGCTGCTCTCCCGGCGGCGGCAGCAGAGGGGGGGTGAGCAAGACCCGGGAGGCCGTGAAGACAGACCTCCCCCGCACACACTCCCCTCCCCAGAGCTGCTTTGCGCACACGCTTGCCAGCATGGGCGCTCCCTCACCCCTTCATACAAGTGCCCCCGCGTGCAAAGCAGCTGTGGCAAGGGAGGTGCATGTGGGGGTGGGTGGGAGGTCTGCCTTTGTGGCTCAGCAGTGGCGGTGGAGTGGGGTGGGAGTGGGCCAGAGCCGGCAGGCAAGAGCATGGCCAGGTGCTCTGGGTGCTCGCCTCCTGGCCGGCTATAATGAGGC